CGGGAGAACTTGCGAGTAAGAATATACTACTCAAAATTTAATGAACTTTCCGAATCCGGTGTAGAATTTATCAAAGAACTCATTCATCAGTAAAAAATTTTTCTTCAAATCCATCATTTTGAGTTAAAAATTCCAAAAATTTCCTTATATATTTTCGTTTTCCAGCCGCCATTTTTTGTACTTAAAATCATATTTCACTAATTGGAACCATCATAACTTTAAGAGAAGGACCCATGGACGCTTTATTTGCACCAAAGACGCCAAGATTTAAAATATTTTCGTGTGAAAATTCGAAAAGAAGAAAAATTATTTTTTTCGAAATCACGCTTTTTAGGATGAAACCATCCATAACTTTTGACCTGTTTGTTATATCGAAAATCTGACTCCGGATTCGGAAAGTTCATTAAATTTTGCGTAAAGTCTGCTAACTCGCAAGTTCTCCAGACCCCATTTTTAGCAAAAGTACGATGGTTCAAAAAAATATCAAAAATGTGTCCGTCCCGCGTTTACCAGCGGCCCGAAAGTAGCATTTCCCTGCCGCTGCGCTAAACGGGATATTGCTATTTTTGGGTCCAAAGTATGTAAAATCGTATACTGGCCTATACCGGGAAAAATAGAAAAGTCCCAGGGCCCGTGAAATAAGCGACCGAGGCGAAGCCGAAATAAGGTCTAGGGCAATAATTATACTATTTTGTTTACTTTCAAATGATTTTTTAAAGAACTATTTGTAGATGCTATTTGAAATAACAATTTTTTTTTTTAATTTAACGAAAAACTCGAGCATGATCGGCATCTAAACCAGCCGGTGAAGTTAAATATAATGGCTAGATATGTATCTAGATGAAAACCGTTATGATTTCAAATGTTTATAAATCCTTTCAAATTCATTGACAGGTATAATATACATTTTGAAATATATATGACTAGCGACCCCGTCGTGGCTTCGCCCACGTTCAATTTTTTTAACAAATTCGACTGTTTAAAAGATCTTAAACAGGCCACGTCAAGTGCGTAGTAGGAAATGTATAAGTTGAGTCCACACACTTGTAGAACTCGAATAGCGTAATAACACATGTACACATCAAATACAATGTATTCCGATTCACCGCGTGTAAAAAAAAAACATCTGCTTTCGGTCTTTTTTATAACCATTAACCGGGCAAGGGGCGAGCGAGCGCATGAAGTGGTAAAATACGAAAAAAATTCTGAACTCAAAAATTAACCGGGCAAGGGGCGAGCGAGCGCATGAAGTGGTAAAATACGAAAAAAATTCTGAACTCAAAAATAAATAAGCAAATAATGGTTTTAATACGATAGAAACCTGCGCAGTGGTATAATGAATACGTGGTAAAAATTTCAAGCCGATTGGACAAATAGTTTTTGAGATCATAAAGGTCAAACAGACACCAACTTCGCTTTATATAAATATATATGGGTCAGATTCAGAATTTTTCAAATAAACCTGCGGGCGAGGTTCACGGATTTTCCAGAAATTTTGGTATGTTATAGTACATGATAAAAAAGTGCCAAAACCAAAATTTTGGACCCCCTCCCCCCTCCTACCCCCCTCCTCCGGTATAAACGTCCATTTTCGATCTATATTTTTTCTGAAGGCCTGAAGCTATTAAAAAATCTGAAAAAATTCATGAAGGTACTTTTTAACAATCCAAACAATCTTGAATTTTTTCAGATTTTTCGAGTGCTTCAGGCCTTCAGAAAAAATCATTGAAAATTTAAATTATTTTATTTTCGGTGAAATGGTTCGATGTACCAGACCGGAGTATTTTTTTCTGAATTCTGACGTCAAAAAACGATTCCTTGAATTTTTTCAGAATTTTTCATTCATGTCCATTCAGCCTAGAGCTGAAAAACCGCTTTTTTTCACGAAAATAATTTTTTTAAGGCGCTACGGAGCCTCAAAAAATCTGGAAAAATTTTTTTCTCATTTTGTTCATCAAAATACATAATCTCAAATTTTTTCAGATTTTTTAATTGAAGGCGATAGCGTCTGGAGCCGAAAAACGTTATTTTTAACAAAAAAGGTTCCTGGAACCCGATGGTTCCGGTAAAAAAATTTGAAAAAATTTTTTTTGAATTCCTTGTCAAATTTTAATAAATTTTGACCGTTGCAAAAGTTCGATTGGAGCTTCCTAGCTCATTCTAGAGCATAACAAAGATTAATGCGAAATTCTGAAGACATTCATCATATTTAAATTTTTTTCAGATGTCTTCAGAATTTCGCATTAATCTTTGTTATGCTCTAGAATGAGCTAGGAAGCTCCAATCGAAATTTTGCGACGGTCAAAATTTATTAAAATTTGACAAGGAATTCAAAAAAAATTTTTTCAAATTTTTTTACCGGAACCATCGGGTTCCAGGAACCTTTTTTGTTAAAAATAACGTTTTTCGGCTCCAGACGCTATCGCCTTCAATTAAAAAATCTGAAAAAATTTGAGATTATGTATTTTGATGAACAAAATGAGAAAAAAATTTTTCCAGATTTTTTGAGGCTCCGTAGCGCCTTAAAAAAATTATTTTCGTGAAAAAAAGCGGTTTTTCAGCTCTAGGCTGAATGGACATGAATGAAAAATTCTGAAAAAATTCAAGGAATCGTTTTTTGACGTCAGAATTCAGAAAAAAATACTCCGGTCTGGTATATCGAACCATTTCACCGAAAATAAAATAATTTAAATTTTCAATGATTTTTTCTGAAGGCCTGAAGCACTCGAAAAATCTGAAAAAATTCAAGATTGTTCGGATTGTTGAAAAGTACCTTCATGAATTTTTTCAGATTTTTTAATAGCTTCAGGCCTTCAGAAAAAATATAGATAGAAAATGGACGTCTATAGGGGAGGAGGGGGGTAGGAGGGGGGAGGGGGTCCAAAATTTTGGTTTTGGCACTTTTTTATCATGTACTATAACATACCAAAATTTCTGGAAAATCCGTGAACCTCGCCCGCAGGTTTATTTGAAAAATTCTGAATCTGACCCATATATATATATGTATATAGATAGATTATTCAATTTATTAATCTATATAATTTAGACTAAAATAAAGATGCTTGATTACTCGCGTTCGATTGTGCAATTAGTGGTCACTAACTAAACTTTTTTTTAGCAGTTTTATAAACTTTTCAAAACTTAATGAGTGATTTGCATTCCCGAGTTAAGGTATTTTTCATGTAATATAAATACCCGAGAGTTCGTAGAGCAAAAATAATTATTTTCTAGAAATTGCATACGCACCTCTTAAACTTTAAAGACTATTTATTATTTTTTTTAGTATAAAATTGCGCACTGTAGAACGTTTTCAAAACTACATTAAATTATACGCTCTCATTACTCATCTTATTAAGTAATACGCTCTCATTCACGATGAAAGCATCTTAACTTGAAAAAATGCTTTCAAGGACTAGTTCAGCAGTAGTGATTTGAATTGATCGAACATCAGTAATATATGAGAAGACGTAGGAAATATTGATAATTTTATTTTTACCTTCCCACCAAGAAAAAAGAACAGAACGTTCGTTAGACTGTTCCTTTGTTACAGTTCGATTTGAAACAGATCCAATTCCATTTTTACGACTGGATACGATAACCGCGGCTGGACATTAGAATTTAATTTTTATGATTAGTCTAGGCACTCAGCTTTTTTCGTGTACTTATTCAAGTGTCACGGAACAATTAGTGTATTTTGACATATTTTGACTATAAATAAAAACTTAACCGAGTTCCAAGTTCTAGCTCATTGACGACTCAGTGGGGTAGTCAAAAAATGGACGATTCGTTTTTATTTGGCTTTAAACATTTTTTTTTACAATTATCACCAATTTTTTGGTCAAGTGTATGTGCTCATTCGAAAATTTACTTTTTTTTTAACGTCATTCACAAGCTCTTTAAATGAGCAAAGAGTTTTTTCAAGAGTCCAAAATATGCCACATTCACCCTGTAACTATTATTATACAATACCTGGTACACAACTAATGTATATACCTATAGTAAATACCCAATTTTGTTACATTGTAACAAATAATAATGAATAGGAAAGAAAGAAGGAAAAAAAGTTTCGCTAATCTTTCTAATTTTTATAGCGCCTACTAAAATATTCAATTTTCATTCCATGCTTTCTTAAATATTCTTGCTCCATTACGAACCAAGCAAGAATTAGCGAGTAAGGTATGTTCGATATAATATTGTGCGCGGTTCTTGTTCTTTCAACTAGTTTCTATTCTAGTGAAAATAAAAATATCATTAATAAAGGATCATTAACAAAACAATTTTCATTTCTCTAACAGACTTTTTTTAATACTTTATTTTCAATCTATTTTAAAAAAATGAATGATAAATGAAATAAAGCATAATAGGTAAATAATTTGACTATATTTGAACATTATCAAGAAAAAAACCTGTAAATTTTAATTATTTCCGAGTACCGTAATTGTATACTGGAGTATTACCGGAGTACAGTAGTTTGCATTCTGTAATTAAGTTATAATTTTTTTCTATTTTTTAAAGAGGAATAGTTTAAACACCAAAATTCTATTGAATGTTTATTACAACATTGTTATTAGTTACTACTAATAATGATAAGAACTCTAAATACTTTAATAAGTCATGGAAAAAATTAATTTTTAATTGTAAAACTTCATTTTAGACTTTCCAAACAATGGTTCGAAAGTTGTAAGTCAAATACAGTTTACGGCATGGAGAAAGTTTGACTAATATTGAAAAAATTACATAATGTTTGCTTTGCCTCATAATAACATTCAAGTTTATCACATTTAAAAAAATACTGTTTTTGAGTTTGCAAAACTTGATTCAATAAAAATATATGCATATTTATTAATATATTCTTTTTAAAAATAATAACTCAAATTATTCAATTAATCTTTATTTTTTAATATTTCCAACTTTATCAGTTATTTTAATCTAGTTTTTGTGACAGATTGAAATATTTTAATTACAAATATTGAGTTCAGGGTATAGTGAAAAATCTTATCTCAGTAATTAATTTATCTTTAATTCAAGAAGAACTTCCATAATTTTCAGAGCTATTTTTCAATATTTTGTGTTTATAGATTTTTTTAAAAACATTAAAAATACTATACTTCAAAGATAAATAAACAACAAGAATAATAGAAAACCTCGATTCACACTTTGTACAATACAATAGTTACACCAATTTCATTCAAGTGTGACAAAAATGCTACTCAAATCACATCTTTTACATATAATAGCTACACAGCATTCATTCTCTCAATTGTAATGAGAAAAATTTTGGAATATTTTCATTTTTCTATAATTATTAATCCTTTGTGATAGCACTTATTGAAAATACATTCGTACACACCACTTAGTTTATGCACTATAATCACGATGAAGAATAATCTAACTGAACCGTTAATTGTTTCACTCCTGCTGCGTGAAATATCGATTGTGTACTAGCAATAACATACTTAGGATCAACGGTTCTAGCAACTTCTAGTTTTAAGCAACCCACATAAATATCTGAACAAAGTGTCCAAAAATGTGGTTCTTGGACACTATATACACCAGCTAATTGTGTGACTCTGTTGTAACATTGTGGCAGAACATGATCTAGTTCTGTGGGCTGCCTTTGCATTAGAATTATCATGGATTTTTTTATAAGAGGCATAACACTAATAAATATTAGGATTGCTATTATCATTGAGCAAATAGGATCTGCTATCATCCAACCAAACATCTGCATTAAAATTGCAGAAATGATTACTCCTACTGAACCTAGTGTATCAGCTAATATGTGCAAAAAAACTCCTTTCATAATTAATGAAGTTCCACTTCCTTGAAGGTGATCATTTTCAATCCCATGATGATTGTGAGAATGACTATGATGATTGTGCATATGATTATGATCTCCTAGTGATTGAACATGTCCATGACTATTTGAATGTCTATGTCCATGATTATGATCGTGATTATGGTCATGATTATGACTATGATTATGTCCATGACTACAACCTTCTCCACCATGGCCATGATTGAATACAAATATTCCAACAAGATTTACTAATAATCCTAGTACCGAAATTAAGAATAGTCTTTCATGCTTAACTTCGGGAGGTTCTACTGCTCTTTCCATAGCTTCACACAATATAAAAAATGCAATGAAGATTAAAAATAATCCATTTACCATCCCAGCAAGAACTCCTGCTCTTTTATATCCGTAAGAAAATTTATCGTTAGCTCTCCATTTTGTAATTATGGATGCAACCAAACCAGCAATTAGACCAGTGCAATCAAAGAACATGTGAAAACTATCAGATATCAGTCCTAAGCTGTTGGTCCACATACCATATAACAACTCCACAAATGCAAAAGTAAAATTTAGAATGAAGAAGAGAAACAAATTTCTTGTATCTTTATCTGACCATATTAGTCTTTTCCATCCATGAATTTTTTCTTTTATTGCAAACATAAAACTCGGTGAATCATTATGCGTTAAAGGAAGCATTTTGCTGTGTAGTGTTGTTGTCTTGTAAAATGTACTTTCTGAAAATAATTATAATTAAATATCAATAGGAATAACAGCTAGTTTTCACACAATAAAATATTAATTTTTATAAAAAATTGAAGTTACATCAATTAATTAAGTTTTTCTGCGGATAATTTTATATAAACAGAATTTGAAATATTGCTAAAAAAAGTAAACGTATTGTTTATACACATCGGAAAATAATTTAAATGAAAAATAGTCAACACTAGAGAAATTCTGACAATAGTAAATAAATACACTGTTAACAAGTCATATTGACAAACTTTGCTAATTTAGTTGACACCGGAGAATATGGATTGTTACATCGGAAAAATTACATTGACACGTCCACGATCTCATTTAGGAGGTTAAGGATTGTTTACTTATATTCAAAATCAACTCACCTCAAAAAAATTCTTCCAATAGTTTAGATTGAATAAAAGTACTTGAATGTTTTAACCAATCTAATCGTAATTTTATTTAAATCCCATTGTAAGCTACAATAGAGGTTTATATATGAGTTATCATGATGTCAAACTGATGTAGTCAACCATACTGCAAGCAGCTACTGTAATCGCAAAGCATCTAATAATATTATAATAAGCGTTAACGAGTGCAAGTAAAGAAAAACAAATTACGAATGCATACGAAATTGTAAACTTTTCTTAAATTTCTATTCAATTTCAAGTTTTAAGAATTTGTTATTTTGATAATAACAAAATGTGCATCAAGTACTTACAGATACACTTCATTTAATTTCTGGTAATTTTTTTAATGTGACCCTTATTTTTTAACAGTATTTCTATCCAAAACATAAATATATTTAATAATGCTTTAAATAAAATTCAAAACCTAAATTTATATGAAAACTTACGGGTTAAAGTATCTATCTGAGAATATTCTCTTTTATTTTTTGATTTTCGCGGTACTGTTCTAAGTTGGGACTTCAGTTAGGCTAAAATTTTAAGTGACAGTCATGTGTACCCGTTTAGGATAAGCTGACTGTCGTAACCGCGGTGCAGTTTACGATTTTATGCAGCTTTTAATAATTTAGTGACATGCGTCAGTCGTCAAACTACTCATCACTCGAATTGGTCACCAATTGGCCCTCGCGTCGGCTCGCGTATCGCAGTGCAAAGTTAACGACAACTGACGAGCGGCAGCGGGCAGCGTGCCGAAATCCTTACAACACCTCGCCTCTTTTGTTGTTCATATTAAAAATGGTAAGAATGCCTTTTTATAAACATTGCTAAATATATTTGCCTAATAAATTAACCGTTTTCTTCACACAAAATAGCGGTTTATTTAAACAATGAAGTGTCTAAAATGTAGGCATAAAACTATATCAATCCCAATTTGATATAAAGCACAAGTTTTCGTGACTATTTGCCAGGTTTTGCACTTCACTAAAAACGATCAAGTCTAAATATGCAATGAACTGATGCGCATTCTTGATTTACTTTATTTATTAATCGATTTCACAATAACGAAAACTATTACACGTATGCATTTTTGAACGCTTAACCTAAATTACTTGTGTTAATTTGATCATTCAAATCTAAAGTACATCAAGCTCACTACTATTTATGATGATATTGACTTTCTGCGCTTCGTGAAAAATCGTTTGTTTTTCACTGCCTCTAAGCCTCTTTTTCCCCTATTTAATCTTATCTTTGATTAAAATGTATTACAATGTCGAATCAACTTTATTCAAAACATGGAGTACCTGCTGCTTCTATAATGATCACAATCTTTTTTTTTACTATAAAATCATTTTCATTCAATTTTACAGCCTCCTAAGAAAGATTCAAAGGCAGGTGCAAAGCAACCTCAGAAAACTCAAAAGAAAAAAGAAGGAGGTTCAGGTGGTAAAGCAAAAAAGAAGGTAAGTCAATTTAAAGAAATTGCATTAAACTTTTTAGATTTTAGTGCTTAAAAAATATAAAATAAATGATGACAATTTTTATTTTGATTTCCATGAGAATTTAAAACTGATTTAATGAGACTGAAAATTAAGTTCAAAAAGTTGAAGCCCTTATTTTTCCCAAACAAATGATACAACTCATGTTATATTTCCATTTCAGAAGTGGTCTAAAGGAAAAGTACGTGATAAGTTGAATAACCAGGTGTTGTTTGACAAAAGTACATATGATAAACTTCTAAAAGAAGTTCCTGCATATAAATTGATCACACCATCTATTGTAAGCGAACGACTAAAGGTTAGAGGATCACTAGCAAGGAGGGCTCTAATTGAACTACAACAAAAAGGACTAATTAAACAGGTAGTTCAACACCATGCACAATTGATATACACAAGAACCACCAAAAGTGATGATCCTGTTGCATAAAATTAATCAAAAAATGTACATTTTTTAATAAAAAAATTACTTGTACAGTTTATACTTAGTAAATGAGTTGAATTCTCTGAAAATTTATTTGGATAGATTTAAATTTCATACTTAACACTTGTTACAAACTTAGTTTAATAATTAAGTAGTAAAAATCAACTAATACTTTTTTCGTGTTGAAATTCAATTGTGATTCATTTTTTATTAGAAATTTTGTAAAATACAAAATCATATATTCATATACTTATATATATACATAAGATGTATATGACATCACGTTCTTCTATTATCTGAATATAAATTGAAGGTTAAAAATTTAATTCTCATTTGTTTAATAAATTATCAATAATGACAGTTTTTAAGTAAAATTTCATGAATATTATGTTCTCCTTTTTCAACACTAAGTGAAAGCCAAAATTTAGGCCTGAACCAAATTTTTTGTGATTTTTTTGTCAAACATTACTTCAAAATAAAAACTAAATTATATACAAGTTTATAAATAATTGTATTGGTAAATAGAAGAAAATTTCTAAACAGTCATAAGGAGGTTAACTTCCACTAAAATTGCTCTGTCTTATGAACTAATTCAGTTGTTATGGCCACACGACCCTGCCTACAAAATTCTGAAATAAATAATTTTCAGCAACGAAGATATGTCATTGGAAAAAAAATTGGACAGGTTAATACTTGATTTAATATCACCATTTACATTATACTACCTAATATTAACTTCCAGAAATGTTTGTATTGTAGGGTACACATGCTACAGTTCATTTAGCAAAATTTTTTGATGGCAATAGTACTAGAACAATCAAACTGGCATGCAAAATTTTTGATAAAGAAAATGCTCCCAAAGATATCTTAAGATGCTTTCCAAGAGAACTTGAAATTCTCACAAAATTAGACAATCCGCATATCATTCATGTTTGTTTATGTTATAAATCAGATTTATTTTTTTACTTTTATTTTCGTTATTATTTTGACTATTAATAATTTTACCGTAGGTTCATAAAATTTTACAAAGAGGACCAAAATTTTTTATTTTTATGCGATATGCTGAAAATGGTGATTTATTGGATTTCATACAGCAAACTGGTCCAGTACCAGAAAAACTATCAAAACTATGGTTTCATCAAATGATTTCAGGCTTGCACTATCTTCATAAATTGAATATAGCTCATCGAGACTTGAAATGTGAAAATATTCTTTTGACTAATAAATTCCACATAAAACTGGCAGATTTTGGCTTTGCCCGCTACTGTGTGAATGCTGAAGGTCGTCGGATTCTTAGTCAAACTTACTGTGGGTCAGCTGCTTATGCTGCTCCAGAAATCGTTGCTAATATACCATACAATCCCAAGTTGGCTGATGTTTGGTCTCTCGGAGTTATATTATTCATCATGCTAAATGGAATAATGCCATTTAATGATAAGCATTTACATAAATTGTTAAAAGACCAATGGAACAAAAAGTGGGCATTCCAACCAAAAATTCGACATTTAATATCTGCTGCAGCTAAAAATCTTGTCAAGAAAATACTCGAACCTGATATTACATTAAGATATACAGTTGATAGAATCATGTCCCACGAATGGGTTTGCATGAAAACAGAAAAATGTTGTCTCAATTCTGAAGAGAACTCTACACCAGTAGTTCATCATGAAGTAATCACAAAAGTGAACTATAAATAATAAAAAATTAAAATGATTGCATAAATTACATATCATTTGATGAATTTCCTTGAATATTCTGTAATTTTGTCCACCAGGAAAAAGAAATTCTCAATGAAAATGCTGTGTTTGACATTGGTCCATCTACCTGGAAAGTACAAAATCAGCAACAATTATGTATCAAAGGATTTGGAGAAAAATCATTGAAAAACAGTGTTGGTTCACATTCAAAAAGAATAGAATTTTCAAAAAAAGAATGAGAACATATTTCGAGTATATTTAATTAATAATTACAAATATTGTATAAAAGCTTCTGAACGTTAAATTTTAATACTGTATTTGACTCTTTAGTAAATTATATTGATGATGTACAAACATTTTTATCATGATATGTAAAAATTTTAATAATTATACAGAATATAAATGAAATTAGTTATGATTTATTCATTGTACAACTATATTCTAGATTAATATACAAAACTATAATTTTTGGTTACATGTATTGATGGTACATGATTAATAATAACTTGCAATATCGGGTATGCATCATATTCATATTGTAAATATACATATAAGATATTACAATGATTACATTTTAGTTACAAGTCGGTATATGTGTGTGGTGTGTAAGTGTATATATATTTTTATTTTTTACAATAAAATTAATAACGATTACACGTGCTCGCAAATAATCCACATTCTTCAATCGAAATCATTCAACAAGTAGCACCATTCAAACGTTTATAAAAATGTATACTAATACACTCTCTAACCAAAATAAAATCAACTATTGCTGTGTAGCAAGTTATTCAGGAAACACTGACTAATTTTTTAGTAAACTGTACTTTAATAGTGAACACTTTAAGATACAAAAAATCATCATACTTCAAAAAATAGTATATTAATTTGAATAATGGAAGTCAATCGCAGTGAAATTCAATAAAGACATAACGATAAAATTTTAAGAACAGATTGAATGAGTACATTTTTCTCATTTTTCTATTAGGCACTTAATTCATTTTAAAAAAATCTAGAAAAAAAATTTTTTTTTCATTTACAATTATTTCTTTCGTAGTATTATAAAAAATTCATTTCAAAAGTTGATTGGAAAGAATTTATGATAATTGGATTTCTATATAAATATTTACAATAAAAATCTATGGGCTCTTTTCTTAAAAAAGCATTTGAAAGTTGTCGTTCAACTTTGCATGTGTATTTAAGTATAAGTAAACATCTTTTTATGAAATATTGATTGATTCGAATCCCAGTCATAGAATCCTATATTATGGAAGAATCTATTCTTACTAGTTTTAAAGTGATAGATTTAATCCCAGCCACCAGTAAGCTTATGAAACAATTCTTCATTTAGCGTCTGATTGACTTCTTTTGAGCGCATCGACAAGAATATGTAACCGCCAATAAATTCGTGCAAAACTTTACAATCTGCTGACTGACACTCAAATATAATATTTTCCTCTTCAAATTGAACCATCATATGTTTGACTTCCCAGTTGACATTCCAAGCCTAAAAAAGAATTTTTTAAAGAAAAAATTACATTGTGTTTAATGTTTAAAGGTTTTTGTTGCTTACCTTCATTGTGTTAAATCTCCAGGTTTTAATGTGATCTCCACTGTGAATGTCCATGCGCATAATTCTATTATTTGCAATTCCCAAAAGTTCATCCTTGTTTTTACCATTAAACCTTACTATGAATAAAGATATACCATACTCAGGTAAATTTTGCCATGCCTTTATATAATTCATTTTGGCTTCAATCAAAGACAAATCTTTTACATTGGCATGTGCTTCCAGAATTCTTTGAACTAACTGTTGGAAAAGAAAAGAAAGTCAAGTTGAAAAATCGAACATAAATAAATAGAATTTTTTTGAATCGGTGTCAACAAACTTTATTTTTGAATTTTTTCACGAAGCGAGGTGCCACATAGTTTTCTGGTACGATATCTCCAAGAGAATTTGGATTAATGGCTGGAGCTGGAGCGGGCCTTTGTAGTTGGAGGAAGGCAACGATACTGCTTACCTCGCTTTCGTAAGATGCGTCAGCGAGACTGCGACCTTTAGATGCTAATCGACAAGCGGCCATCCATTTGGCGTATTGTTGCTCCTGCGAATAATAAAATATCAGCATGTAGTTGGAGCAACGAGAAGTGCCGACGCGGTGGATAATTTAGCCATATTTTACTCACATTGTCGCATCTGATCCACATTTCAGTCATACCATCGGAGCCTGGCACTTCGAGTCTGATACCATATCGACCTTGGGCAAGATGAACGTCAGGTGTGACTTCGCAGCCGCGCAAGTTGATGACGTGCACGGGCTCGCTGGTATCGTCGCGGCCCTTGAACAGTCTCAGCTGGAGGTCGCGACAAGTGAACCAGTAGCGTTTGAAGGCCTTGAGGGTAAAGCGCTTGGGCTTAAAAAATCGAAGATAATCGCAAAGCTCGGGTATCTGCGTTATGTCACAGGGCCCTGTATTGATGCTGCTGCCTTCGAGAGTGACCTGCAGATCCGTGAGGGCGGCGTCGATGTCATCTTCGAGGGCCGACTGCGACGTGCCGTTCATGTCTACACTGCTTTGCGGCACGTTAGATTGTAGATTAGTCTGCACCTAAAAGCAGGCAATAAAAAGGATGTATAATAGATTGTCGTACAGTGGTCAGGACAAGATTCGAAACTCCAAAATCCAACAGTCTACGAGGATCGGGCGATATTTTGGCACAGCTGCATTAAAAGCGAGAGATGAGTTACCTGTAAGGCAGCGAACATGAGCATCTCCTCTTCGGTGCAGTCGATCTCCTCGGCGAGAAGTTGCCACTTGGCTTGCTCGTAGATCATGTTGATGCGAACTCCGTCGGTCTTGGGGTTGAGGTCGTAAAACGAGTAGAATTTGAAGCGCAAGCGGAGAGTGTCGTACTCGTGGATGGCCTGCTCCATTATGGAAAGAGAGGAGTCGAGCCAGGCGACGTTCATGCGGGCCTTCTCTACGAGACTGCGGGGCCGCAGCACTCGAGCTCGCACGTCCGGAGGCACGCTGCTGGGCGACTGCAGCAGATGCTCGCTCAGTCCGCCGTTGAGGGCCTCGAGGCTCATGGTGCTGTTGTTGGCATTGAACGAGCCCGTGCTGCCGAAGCCCACGGTTTTGTTGTTGCGCTTCCACGTGCTCGTGTGCTATCGAACCAGAGGATCAATTAGGCATTCGCGAGCGACCGCGTGGATCAATTTTCTTACCGTTACTGGAGTGCCGATGGGTGTGCTGTGATTCCGATAGTTGTTCGGCGTCATCGGGCCGCACATGAACGGACTCGATCGATCGAGGCTGTTGATAGATCCTCGAGGACTCTGTGTCGATGCTATGAAGGTGTTTGTGTCTGCTGCCACCGCTTGATGCCCGTTTTTATGATTTTCCGTTTTCTTTTTTATTGGCATGTCTTTCAAATTGTATTTCAGGTGATTGGCCTCCAGTGGCTTACAAAACGATAACTCTTCGGGATGTCGAATACCTAAAACAAACAATCTTTATTCATTGCTTATGCTAGAAAAAAAACAATTAATCGCTGCATCTTTCGAAATTTTTCAATCGAAAGAATCCATTCGATTCATTTGAATCACTTTGAAACGAATATAATTCTCCGAGGTATGATAAAATAGGATAAAAGAACCTCTTTGTCTTTGAATTAGAAAAGTTGAGACGATTCCATCATGCTTAAGGGGATGGATATATTCCAATCCACAACTCAAACAATAAATTCCATGTTCTACAATTCTTCTAACGAAAAGTTCTCTAAAAGGTTCCATAATGCCCTCAAGAACATGAAAGAAGGTCGTCTTTGGAAAATTTGATTTTTGGACGCCCATATTTGTTTCATGAATGATACAAGAACGTCACAAAGGTTTCAAATTAAGGTATAGGCTTGCATAATTAACACGTCCTTCGCATAATAATGTAACCGGGTTTTCATAGCCCGTGAAAAAACAGTCTTGAATAGCAAATATAGACTTTTTTTATGCATTTCACGAAAAATTTTCAATAAAAATTTGAAAAGAAAATCACTACTCAAACTTACCGAGCTCCTTGCAAAGATTTATAACAGCATTGAACGTTTTGACGGAAAAGTCGACTCTGCAGTCAATGTATCGCATATCCGGCAGCTGAACCCTCAAGATCTTGTGCATAGGGGTGAAATGAAGAATAGCATCGGCTGCTACGCCGTACTGATCAAGAGTGCTACGCGTCCTGGTAAGCCAGTGATTCCGCGCAGGCCACCACAGAGCATGATCCGACCAATCCATTGCTATGTCTGCAAAATTTTAAATAATTCAAAAATCAGTTTTTTTTCAACTGTAAAGCATTCAACGCGAATAATCAATTTATATTTGAATAATGAAAAAGATTAATGGACGTCAGAAAAATCTCAGTTTAAGAAAGAAATGTAATAAAATTATAAATTTCTGTTAAGATACAAGGACCACAAATTCAAATAACATACTAAAAATTATTAAAGAACTCAATGCGTTTATATAACATCAATATTAAATGTTTAATATGAAAGAATGAAATATTGTAAACAATTGCAAATGTAATATTATTGTGAACATATTATTGTAAGTATTGGATGGAAGGGAATTTCCCATCGAATCCAGAAATCCATCTTAAACAATTGTATCATTTCCAACCAAAGTTACAACAAAATTACAATGTATTAACTTTTTTATACGACACATCGCTTTCTAACTCCAATTAAATTCATTTGTCCTCCCTATACCAGCAGACATTCATTAGTTTTGATTCAACCAGTTGTTCAAAAGCTCCTCTTCATAAAGCCATGGTTACTAACATATTCTTTTTACTTTGCCTGAAGCTTGCACTCGTCGAAACACGCAAAAGTTAAACTTCGAAAGCATCTGTATGTTTTTGGCATCTATTAGCAAATATAAATGAACATAAAGCCCTTTAATGCGTGGCAGCGTCAAGGCTTTATTTTAATAGGCTATTGCGAAACGTATTGAGGTGCGTGCATGGCTAGACTCACTTGACCGTAGCTGACCTCATTATGAAATCCCATTTTCGCATAAATATACCAAAGCATCTTCAATTTTCCTTTTCTATTCGAAAATTCTGTTTCAAGCTATATTATCTGCGGTACGCTGGACAGACATGCCAAATTAAAATGCCTAACGGTATATGAGCCAAGCTCGCTAATTCTGCTTAAATTAAACCTGACAAACTTGAGCTCGGTTGTTTACTCAAAAGCCGAGCTCTGTTCCTAAACTGTCGACGCATGCACAATTTCAGCCGCCGTCCTCGTGTTGCGTTGAGAATAAGCCGTATAACAACGACGTACGGCAAAGTCTGTTCAAAGTCTGCTCGTTTACACAAGCAGTTCTAAGCATAAGTAGCTATTCATGACATACGTTTAGTCCACGTCGTTTTCTGTCTTTACGATATTACAAAGATTTTGGACCAACGAAACTCAAGGAGCCAACTGCATCTTCTGAGGATGGTAATCGTCATAGTCATTCGCAGCTTGCACACGATGTCGATGCAGTTAAAATTTAATACAGCAAGCCAAACCTGCATTAAAACCCACAGCACAAGCCTGCACTGATGTCACTTTCATTGTTGGCATTGTGTCGCTCAAAGATGCCGAGGCCTTCTTGACTATCAGTCCCTCTCTCTCTAGGGGCAGAGAAAGCTGCGAGGTACCACTATACTAGGCGACGAGTATTTCTCAGCGTCTACCAAAAAAGAAGAAGCTCGGCTTGTAGCTTCCGCTCGTTGACTCGCTTCTCCCCTTCTGCATTCCGTCGGCGAACGCACCACCGAGTTCGTCAGCCTCTCGTTGAGGAAGATGCACTCCTCTCGTGCCGCATGTGCTTTGGTTATATAGTTGTCTTTCTTCTCTTTGCTTTTTTTCACTTCCTCATCTCGAGGGGCTCAGAGCGACTTCCGTGCTACGATCTGCTATGAGCCTCAGCATTTGCAATGGCTTTTATTGTTTATTTAGCTCAATGATTACGTGCTGATATTTTTTCTTTCGAATTATTTACTCACTATAGGAAGAAATTTTAATTTTTAGTTCACCTTTTTGCTTGCAGTCACAATAACACGTTAAGACAGATAAAATTTAACTCATAAATATTTAAATTTACGATCAATAAAAAAATCTTCCGATTGAATAACTAATAACCAACAAGCCTTAAACAACATTGATTTTTCAATTATATACAAAACCTTATTCCCAAACTTCCCCCTTTTGTTTCTGTTCTTTGAAGTTGATATGTATAAGTTGCAAATACCATATTTTCTTTGTCCCTTTTATTGAGCGTATTTTCACTTGAAGGTCTTCTTCAAGTCACGGTATTGTTTTGAAAAGTCTTGAAAAATCTTTTAGCCTCCTTAAAAGTTGAATGAACTTTATTTTTGAATGCACAGGCAAATGATTCAATCTCAGAAGTTTTTCTCATTGTTAAATTTTATTCAACTTATTTTTCATGTTACCATACTCACTTATGATTTACTTGTACCTCCAATTTTCTGTGTTAATGAATACCTAGGAATTATGAAACAGCTTGCCTGGTAGCCGAGGCAAAAGTAAAGGTAATAACGTTAATTCAGTTTGGGTTACAAGCTATCATGCAGTTAAATGCACCTGGGCACTACAGCACATTCGATATTTCCGAGAACAAGGGGGAATACGATATAATCGAATACGATCTAACGCGTGCATTACATTTATTGGCAGCATGTATACGCAAGTAGACAATACTTTGTAAAATGCTTCGTAAAAATGTTGCTCCATAAAATGAATTTAATAAACAATAAACTTATAGAATAAATGATTTTATGTAGTCTATCATAATATTTCAATGAATAACTTCATTAAATAACTACGTGCAAAATATATAAACCGTGAAATATTCCCATCGATATGGGGTTGATATTTTACCAGCTATAATAATACTTCTACTACTGTATATTTTGTAAAACCTCGTTTCTAGAAATTTTTCAATTGCTTTGGAGCTTATCAATTCAGGCGAATATTTGCAGTAAAATGGAAAAATAGCAACGACCGCGATATTTTCAATCCAATTTACACGAAGAACATATTCTTTGTACGTATTGATACGCGTAGGTATTACAAACATATTTCATATCTAAATGTCGCCAGGTTTTTGTGATGCGCATGGGAGATTTATTGTCATCTGTAGCGGTTGGCATTTTTTCCAGGATGTATGCTGAAATGCAGCAAACTTGTTCGTATTCTTCTACTTTTATACTCTCACGTCAATTTTTTACGATTTTAAAATTGAAAAAGTTTAGTCCATGTCAAATTATTGTTCTCGTGACTTGTAAACTTGATCTAAAATAGTAGAATTCGCTGGATTTGTTTGAAAAAATAATAAAATCAAGCCGTATCCTAAAATATTTCAAAGAATATGTCTTATTCATATTTCGGGCAAATGTGAAGTTCTATTTATTTATCCCTTTCGATATTTATAGTTAAAAAGATATCGATTGATATACAGAGATATTAAAATATTTTTCTCGAAAGTAATTGGTCAATGAATTTGTTAACATGTTTGTTGGTTCTCGTGCTCAATGTTTTTTATGTTATCGATTGAAGGGGCAACTGGCTCCACTCGATTATATCCTACGCCAGACAGTTGGCATGAGTAAAATTTTCGAAACACCTCAATGCTAGTCTTGTATAAAACACAGAGTGTGCAGGTCGTTCATTGCAAATAAACAGAAGATTCAACGCTTTATAGATGCACACATGTTTAAAGTTAGCAGCGTGAGCCCATTTGCTCGTGTGGTGTGCGAAATGTCATAATAGTCCAGGCCCCAGCTTCGCAATGGTCAAAAAAATTTTTTTAGTCGAGTTTTTTACACATTCCCATGTAAAATTGCCCGCTCAATCCGAATTTGCATGTTGCCAGGCCAAAAAACGTGCCCAAAATTGTTTAAACAAATTTTGTTTAAACAAATGGTCAAAATTTATGTTTTTTGACCTGGCAGTACATTTTTTAAGTTAATTGGATCATTTTAAAGAGAAAAGGTCTCTTGACATTTTTCTCTAAAGTTGATAGATTTCGAGTTATTCAACATTTTATGTTGCAAAAAACTCGAAAATGTCCAACTTCGACATTGAAAAAATATGTGAAAAACGTAAAATTTTGATGTTGCCATAGCGTTTTCTTACACTTCAAACATCCCTTTATAAAGTCCCGAAGCGTTTTAGACGATAAAATTGATGAAAATTTCAAGCGCAAGTTGCGGGAGCAATGCGTATGGCTAACCTTACCGTCAAACTCGCTGATTTAAAAGTTGATAACAAACAGGTTTTCAACAATTTTATCGTCTAAAACGCTTCGGGACTTTATAAAGGGATGTTTGAAGTGTAAGAAAACGCTATGGCAACATCAAAATTTTACGTTTTTCACATATTTTTTCAATGTCGAAGTTGGACATTTTCGAGTTTTTTGCACCATAAAATGTTGAATAACTCGAAATCTATCAACTTTAGAGAAAAATGTCAAGAGACCTTTTCTCTTTAAAATGATCCAATTAACTTAAAAAATGTACTGCCAGGTCAAAAAACATAAATTTTGACCATTTGTTTAAACAAAATTTGTTTAAACAATTTTGGGCACGTTTTTTGGCCTGGCAACATGCAAATTCGGATTCAGCGGGCAATTTTACATGGGAATGTGTAAAAAACTCGACTAAAAAAATTTTTTTGACCATTGCGAAGCTGGGGCCTGGACTATAAGCAGCTTCAGCACTCAAAAAACGAGAACGATCATCTTTTCGCTATAGTACACACACAAACATACATGTAATACGCTGCTTATATGTTCGACACACGAGTCCATTTTTCAATGATCGAATCGGCGCTCTTGAAACTGGAAATATTATATTGCTAACAAATTAAACAACAGTTCATGAAATCAATACTCCACGGTCAAAGTCATGTATAGACAGTCGGCGTCATCTTTATGACTTGGACATGAGTATAATGGGTAGGTAGAAACACAGCACATGTATAAAATATGCAATAAAAAAAGACCATGGCTCAATTGTTTTATTTTATAGAAAATGAAATGAGTTTGTACAATTTACATATCCATTACTTTGCCTTCACGTACGTTTGACAAACGTTATCAACAAAAATGTAATGCTTGGTTTTCACGTTTTCGGCAGATATTCTACTCTACTCTTATCACGATTAAATGAGGAAAATTAACAAGAGAATAAAATATATTTATAAATAATATAACAAAATCGAATAGTTTA